TTCTTTATTAAGCTTGTTCCAAGTGATGGGTGCTGCAACTTGAATCATCCTTTGAGGTAATATCTGCCACTCGTGATCAAAATTTGTTTTGTAAAGTACCTCCCCTCCTGGAGTGTATTTAATTGCTCTTAGGTCAACAACTTTGTTCGTACCTGCTCGAAGTGACTTGAAGCGATATTTTGATGAATCGGAGTAGTCAATAAATTCATCATAGTTCATCCACTTGGCAACATAAGGCATAGGCTTAGATCTTGCAGTTTCGGTAGCTGTCAAATAAAAGCTTGGTAGAAAAATTGGTTTGTTTTTAACTTTCTTTTCAATATTCGCATGAACAGAATCACACTCCATGTGAGTGTGTCCAACTTCGAGATATTTCTGAATTATGGTTTTTTTATGATCTATCGCAAAATCTAACAGAGCATTTCCCATTATACAATTTCTATTTTGATACGTGCAGCCATCGGAATAAATTAAAATTTCGTCGTCATCTTGGCAGTGGGTTTGCAGGTAACGAATTAATATTGTAGCAAATGTCGATGCTTTTAAGTCAGTGTCAGTTTCGCTAAACCAAAAACATACCGTATATTTAGTGGCGATATCATACACAGTCAGGTTATGGCAACATAATTTTGTTTTAAAGTATGCTGAGCTTGATTGTATGGAAGGGGCCACCTTAACAGCCTGTAAATCCATTTGAATAAGTCTAGTTTTTTTGTTAACAGCATCTACTTTGTCTTTCTCCAGTTCTTCTCTAGCTCGATTTTTCCGATTTACATGCTGTTTCCAGACATCTTCGGTAATATTTCCTACTTCATATTTTGTGCAAGTGTCACATTTATCTTTTTGGATAGTATGTAATGACATGTTTTTATCTTTGAAAACAATTGAAAACTTGGTTTTACTTAAGGGTATTATTCCTTTGTTTTTAACGTGTTCACAGTATACTGAGTATAATTTTGATAAAGAGTCAAAACATTGTTCTAAAAAAAATTTTGAATTGTTCTTTCTAGAATAATGCGACGGTAACTTTGGTAAATCGTCTAAAAATGTTTCTAATATACCTTTGTCTTCCAGTTTCTTGTTAGATACTTTGCGAAGTGAATTCTTGACTTCTTGAGATTCAGCCATTCCGTGTTTACTATTGATCACCCAATCACGGACAGACCTCTCTCCAATAGAGAAAGTTGAGAGAAACATCTTTTTGCACACAGGAAATTTTTCATTCTCCAATTTAAGCGTGTATATAAATGTTTGTCCTCGTCTCGAATGATCTGATGTTGTGTATCGACGTTTGGGTTGGATTGTCTCTACTAAGCTAGCTATGTATACTCGCCTTTGCTCCCATGATGTTTTCTCCCAGAATCGTTGAAAAATTTCCAGCCTTTGATCCTCATTTATCTTGTGACATTTTTGGAATTTCTTACAATATTCAGACGTACAACGGGGTCCAATACTTTTATTTGTTCTTGGCTTGTTATGGGTTATTATTTTTCCTTTTCTTTCATAGCCTATATATTCCTTACCTTCTAATCTAAGTTTTTTATTAACAGCTCGATGCCACTTTGATTTTTCAGACCTAACAGCCCTTTGTTTTCTTTTCCTTTTTATAACTTCTTCGTTGATAACTTCATGGTTTTCTTGAGCAACAGATGTACTTTCGACTGTCACTCCTTCTTCGAGTTGTGTTCCATCATTTAAGGCCAACTCTGTTTGATTTTTTTCATCGGCTGACGTATTTTTAACTACGTCCATCTCTACTAATAATTGTACTTCATTTTGTGCATTAACAGTCTCTAAGTTCTTTTGTAGATTTTTTGAACAGGTAATTACATTATCATCAATGTTTTCATCAGAGCTATCTCTGCATTCCCAATTGCTCTCTTGAGTAACAAATGTACTTTCAATTGTCACTATTTCCTCAACTTGAATTCCGTCATTTAAGAAAAACATGGTTTGATTATTTTTAACTCCGTCCGGGTCTAGTAATTGTATTTCATTCGTTAGCTTAATAGAATCTAAGTTCTCTTGCACATTTTTTGAATATGTAATTACATTATCATCAAGGTCTAACAACATAGCATAATTTAACTGGTCATCAGCATGGGTTGTACTAGGAAGAGTCAGAGTAAAACCATTATTTTCTTTATTTTCCTCGTTACCAAGATCAAGAGGAATTGTTAGGTCATCTGCTTGACACTCACTGTGTGAATGATTTTGAACAGGATAAGTAACACAGTTAATACTACATACCAAATTGCTTTCAGTGTTCGATTGAATAACGGTGTCCTCCATATCACATAACGCAAGTATGCGTCTACTTCTGCTATTCATTTTGCTCTAAAATAAAAAATTAACCTTATAAGTTATACTAAATTTACAATAAAGATGCAGTAGAAATAAACAAACCAAGACACCTTAAGTGCTACTAGGAACACTCCCAAATCATAGTTTACAATGTATATACATTGTAAATCTCAAATCATGGTTTCCAAAGTTTATACATTGTAAATTATGATTCGGGAGTGTTCCTAGTATCATTAAACGTGTCCTCGTTTGTTTATTTCTACTGCATCTTGATTATAGTATAGGTTAGAAGAGTAAAATGATGCAATTACACGCCCAGTTGCTAATTATCAGACTGTTTTTTACTTACCTTAATATTAGAAGAGCTACACAATACTTTCAATACTGTATTTAGTACTAATTACTAAATAAACAATAAAAAATAACAAACTTTTACAGAGTGTTGTAGGTTTACTTCAACTGTGAAAATAATACTACGTTGTCACGTTGTTGCAATCTGTCGTAAGCCACGTATATTTTAACGGTTTTGTGGGTTTGGACAAATTGCACTGGTAATTTATGCGCATTGTCGCTTCCGACGTATTACTTAAATATTAATTGTGGTTTTGAACAAATTACGCTGGTAATTTAAATGCATTGTGACTTCCGACGTATTACTTAAATATTAATAGAAAAATAAGGAACATTCTAGGGCTTACGATATTTTGCAGAAACATGTGTCTTCAATAGCAGAATTAAAATCTTCAATAATGAAAAAAAAAAAATTTGTGGGTTACGACATATTGCGGTTATTGCGACGTACTGTCATTTCTACGTAGTTAAGGTCGTGTTAATAATTACATTTTAATGTTTTTGTCGATAAAAAGAAAAAATTATCCTATGCATGCAGCTGTTACTGCAAACAAAAAAGTGGAGTACTTGCGAGCTTCAAAACCTTTTAAAGTACCCAAGAGCACATTGGAAGACTACGCAAAAAAATAAAATAAAGTCATCTGAAGAACTTATTCAAACCAATATGGGACATCCACCAGTGGTTTTCAAAGAAATTGAAGCGGATTTGGTCGATTATTGCCTAGAAATAGATAGAAGATTGTACAGCCTGCGATTTTCTGATATTCGAAGATTAGCCTTTCAATTAGCAATTCGGAACAATTTAAAACATCGGTTTTCAACTAATCAGAAAAAAGAAGGTTACAAATGATTGCGTTCATTTTTAAAGAGGTATCCTGAACTAACGTTTGACCACAGGGTTTATCAACTGTCAGAATTAAAGGATTCAAAAAAAACGTAAATAATTTTATTGAAATTTTGGAACTTGGGATCGAGAAGCTAAAATGTGGTTATTCTGAGTCTGCCGCCGCATTCTACTCACAAAATGCAGCCACTGGACCTTGCTTTTATGGGGTCTCTTAAAACCTACTACTCGCAGAAAATCGAAAATTGGCTAAGGTACAACCCTAGAAAAGTAGTCACCTGCTATTAAGTTTGCGAAAAGAATTTGTGTAAGATTGTGTAAGTTGTGATGTCGGGTAGTGTATTTCAGCCAGAGAAACAGGATTCGTTCGTATAGACATTTATTTCGAACTAACATACAAAAAAAGGTAATTAACGTTAAGTGTTTACTGAATATAATGCTTAAATACAAGAACGTACTGTTTATTTATTTCGGTAGATGGGTGTGACGATATTCGATATGAAAAACTAAGATATGGCGATCAAGGAATTGAGGTCGTACTCGTTCCTCAACGCAGAACGAGTACTCGGACGGGGATAAGGATGTCTATCTAGTTCAACACACTAGATGGAAAGAATACGTCAATCTCGTTCAACGCACCAGATTGACGCGGTCAGAGGAAGGATTCTCAATCTCGCTTAGCGCGCCAGATCGACTGGGTTCGGAAAGGATTTGGGACACGTTCAACTCACCTGTCCCCAAGGTCGGATATTCTCAACTCAACGCGTCGAGAATGGTTAGGTGTCTTTCAGTTTCGACTTTTATACTATTCGAGACGAAACAAAAACGTGTTTTGTTTAACACATAGGCGTACTCTAGACGATAAAATATATTATCGTGGCACCCCCCTCTCCTAAAGAAAACATTTTGAACAAAATTTTTAACTATAGCCCTTTCCTATGTACAACTTACAACTATGAAAATATAAAATAAAACATCTTTTTAACATAATAAATACCATATACATATATATACCAAATTACATATTTAAATACGTAAAATCAAAAATGTCTTTCGCACGACAACTACCTCACTTACTAGCACTAGCACTCGCGGTTGTACCTTATCCGGACCGTGTTCAGCTGAAATCGCTTTAAATGGTTTTTGAAAGAGCGGTATCTGCCCATTTAATAACTCTCCCAAGAAGTATTGATGCGACCAAATGTGTGGAAGATTTATTATGTAAGAACATTTTTAATAATAAAGATTCAACAGTGCAGCCATAAGATATTATCTCTTTACCCACCACTTCGTTTTACAAGTCTAGTATTAAAGAAAAAAAGTCCAGAAAAGTATCTGCTTCATTACAGTTACTCCATACAAAGATGCCTTAGGAAGTAGTTTGTCATAACAGAAGAGAAATAAAAGTATTTCAAAGGGAATTCCGAAATTAAAAGTAGACAAATGTGAGCCTTTTAAGAAAACAAATAAAAATAAAGGAAAATGTATTGCTAAGATGACAATGACAACCAAGGTTAAAATGAAAAGAGCTAAGAATGAAGAAACTTTTAGTTCATCTGAAGAAGATGAAGAATTTATTTTAGATGATGTTTCTGACATGGAGTGTGAAATTGGGGAAGAGGAAGCAAAATATAGGTTTTCTACTGGACTCTTATCTGAAGATACCTTGGGCGAACAATGGATTCAGTGCTCAAAGTGTTTTAAGTGGGCTCACACCGACTGCACCAATGTAGATAAAAAAGACACATATATTATTTGTGATTTTTGCCTCGATGGCTAATTTTATCCCGTTTTCCTAATATCCGTTATTAGGAACATTTTTTTGTCAGTCTAAATTTACCGTTTTCTATAAAAATTTAAATTTTATGTTTTGCTTCGTAGAAATGATTTATTTTCGTTCAATAAATGATTCTCTATAGTATATTACTTGTTTTGCTTTAAAATATTCATAAATTAATTTACGTATTAAAACTAATATTAGGGTTCAAAAAATAGTATCCGATATTAGGACACTTTACAGTATCACTAGGTAGCATGTCTTCACCAAACCAAGCAGTTCTAGCAGAAGCCCAGGAACCACCTTTATTCATACGTAGGCAAATGTTAGCCAACAAACGTCTAATAACGTACAGATCGTTTAATACAACTATGGTTCACAAAATAGGTTTAAAAAATTTAATTAAAAATCCTTTGTAAAAGGTATATATTTTAGGCCCAAACGGGCTAAGTTAAAAAGACATAACGTTTTCGGAATCCATGTTTCATCATCAGTGGCTAGGAGTACATGAATGTAGCCACCAAGATTAAATATATGGGTAAAAACCCGTTAACAGATGTTTAATTACATTTAGTTTTAAAAATACGTTATAATAATTTAAGATGATAGAGTTACCGATGGATTAGGTAACATGTCGACATATAACTCCACGTTGAGGTTGCTAGTCCTGAGACGGTATGTCTTCGAGGACTGTATGAGTGCAACTCTAAAACTACTTTTTGTCCTTGTAATAATAAATCTATCGGAGATTTGAATCACTTATTTTTCGATTGTTCTAATCATAGGGAACAGACTCGAAGACTATATTTAGGTTTAATTGATCTCAATATTAGCCTTTCAGTTAATATCAGCAATCTGTTATCTTATTCTGACAAATCTATATATAATATTCTAATCAAGTTTATAAACGATTCTAAAATAAAAATCTAAACATCCTTATAACAATTTTCTGTGGCAAAAAGATTCTTTGTCTAATGCCATCTCTCTCTCACTCACACACACTAGGTAGCATAGTGTGCCCTACTTTTGGAAAAACGTGAATTATTTTTTTAAACCTTTTAGATGTAGCCAATGTAGATGTAGATAGGAGTTGTAGCCAAAATCCTACGATAGTCCAATTCTTGTTTTAACCACAGCAGTTATCAGACACAGCATAAAGGGTGTCACCACGAACATCAAACTTATTTTGTTGCAGATGAAACGTATTCACATGTACGTCATTTTCCTTAGACTCCTTCAATCTTTTTTACGAACGTCCCTTGCAGCTTTTGCTTTTCATAAGTGTAACTCTTTAGAAGTTTCTAGCTCCCTAAGTTCTTCATTATCACCAATTTCTTTAGAATGGTTTATATTAATTTGGAACCCATCGCACTTTGCACAAGTGTCAGATTTAGGAGTTTTTAAAGAAATATTATAGTCTTCTGTAAAAATTTTTCGGAATTTGTCTGAAGAAACAAATTCAAGTTTTTGTGCTTGACGACTTTCTATGTACTTTTCATACCAGGTGGTGAATCGTCAAACGGGCCATAGGAAACTCAATGGGAAATTTTAAATTGTTGAATTGCTGCTTCCCTAATTATTTTAGATCAAAAGTCATAAAAAACTATTTGTAGAGGACTAAAATCTGAATTAAAAACAAATGTTAAAACCGTTCTACGAATCAAATGTAGTTCAAAATTTTGCAAAAATATAATAGATTTTTCAGACCACCCCTAAAAGTTAGGCCACACGTAATACAAGAATATATAACGTGTGTGTTTTATCATATTGATGTCAGATGTTTGACAATTTGAATTGTCAATTTTTTTGTTTTATGATTAAATTATAAACAATGAATTTTACTAAATACTACTACTACTGAACAATATTACTTTGTGAACAACAAATTATATTGTTTACAAATCTATCAATATAATTAAATGTACTCAGTTGACGAAAAATCGCATAATGTTGTATTCGGGCAATAGCGCGAACCTTTTCCTGTCACTACCGGATCTTTATTTAACGTAAGATATTCTAATACACTAAAATTTAATTCCATGTTAAGTTAAGTTATACAACAATTCAATGAATTCCAATATACTGTTACTGTGATCTTTATTCCTAAAAATAATTTATGATAACAATTAATGGTATAGAAAATTCGTACTCCGACTGTTGGCTAGTAAAGTCGTCTATCATACGCTATACAAAGTGACATCGGTGTTTGTAGGTTATTTGGTTCACATTATTAGTTATAAGTATATTAAGTTTGTGTTTAAAAGGAAAACTACTGTAAGTAAATTTTGATTTTTTGAATATTTCTACCCCGGACCAATGTCCGGGGAAAACAACTCATCCACCAGCGGCAAGGGGCCGCCGAATGGTAAATTTAATAAAGATAGTCGAGTTAACGTTCTTGTTGAGGATATCATTGTACCTGAAGATATTGATATGAGTTCATGTATAAACAATAAAAATAATAATCAATTAAATGAATTATCTAGTACAGATACACTCGACAAAAACTTGGAATCCGACAAAAACTCGTATTATGATAAACAACGTTTATTATATCAATTAACAAATAGATTTAAACCTAACGATTTGGGACCGTTTCATGTTTTTGTTGAACATTTAGAATTAAATATTGGGAGATTACATCCAATGAAATTGGGTGAAAAGTTAATAAATCTAAAAGAGTATGATAAAAATATTATTGAAATTAGTACGGTTGGTCGCAATCGTATAAAAATCGAACTTAATTCGGGCAGTATTGCCAATGAATTAGTTAAAGATCCATTCTTTGAAAAGAATAATTTACTGGCATATATTCCTGGTCATCTTATAGAAAAACGCGGGTTAGTCCGATCTGTAGATACTTCCTACAGCGAGGAGGCCCTCCTAAAAATGATTAATTCTAGTGTACCTATCAAAAAAGTAAAACGCATGACTAGAGTCATCCAAAAAGACAACAATATGGAACGTGTTCCTCGTCAAATGATCATTGTTACGTTTGAAGGAAAACATATTCCTCAATATATTTATATTAACAAAGTTAGATGCTCTGTAGAAACTTATATTAATCCAGTTATGCAATGTTTTCGTTGTCTCCGATATGGCCATTCCGGCTCACAGTGTAGGGGAAAGAAAAGGTGTAGAAATTGTGGGTCAGAAAATGAATCTGTGTGCGAAGCATGCAAAATTTTTTGTGTTTATTGCAAAAATAATAGTCACAATTCTACTTATAAGGAGTGTCCTGAATTCAAAAAGCAAACTAGAGTCAAAGAAGCTATGTCTAATTTGAATATATCTTTCAAAGAAGCTGAAAAAATTATTAACAATCCGGCCTATTCTAGCCTCATACAAAAAAATAAATTTGCCCCATTAATTGATTCGGATATAGAATTTCCTGCTTTAAAAACTTCTACAGCACAACATCCTGTCCCTAATACTCCTTCTAAATCGAACTTTAGGTCAACACATGATCAACCATCTTCTCCTAAACCCTTGCCAAAAAAAAGAAAAACTAGTGATTCTTCTCCCAATTTTCCACCCATTAGACGAGAATATAATACTAGCTTTTGTGCAGGACCGGTCTTCCAGTTTGGAAAAGAGTCGCAAAATGATTTTTCAACACTTAAACATCAATTAATTACCATGTTAACAAGTTTTTTTCACCAATTTTCACAGAATCCATTATCAAATAGTAGTTTAAATTTTGAAGAAATAGAGTTTGAAAATAAAATTAAAAACATTGTTGATAATATATTTAAAACCTAAAAAAACAAAAAAAAAACTCAAAGATGTCCTTTAAACAAAATCTTAAAATTATTCAGTGGAACGCTAGATCTCTTAAAGCTAACAAAAATTCTTTTTACCAAATTTTAATGGAGGAAAAGTTTGATATTGCAATAATTTCTGAAACATGGTATAAGCCTACTGACAACATTAAGTTTAATAACTTTAACGTCATTGCGGTTAATAGAGATAAAGGTTATGGGGGAGTAGCAATTTTCATTTCACATAAAATTATATACGATGTCATTCAATTTAATCATAATTTTAATCCAAAAATTGAAGTTTGTGGAATTAATATCATTCTTGGTAACCAAAAACTCTCTATAGTATCTCTATATAAACCCTCCGATGTTAAAGCGAAATCTCAAGACTACATCAATTTATTTAGTCAAATAAAACATGATTGCATAATAGGAGGCGACTTTAATGCCCATCACGGCATGTGGGGCTCACCTTCATGCTCACATGATGGCAGAGTTTTGGTGGATGCTTTAGATCATTTTTCAAACTTGATTGTTATAAACGATGGGTCTGCCACAAGGATTTCCCCTCCTGGCCAGGCTAAATCTGCAGTAGATCTCACAATTGCTTCGTCTAAGTTATGTCCTACACTTGGTTGGTCTGTTAGTCAGGATTCTTATGGATCAGATCATTACCCAATCAGTATTACGCTCAATAACTATTATCACAATGATGATGCAATCACGTTCCCATTATATAAATGGTCTACGAATGAAGCAAATTGGACCTTATATACAGCTGAAATAGAGAAATCATTTTCCACGCCACCAAACTGCATCGATACCAACGGTATGTGTATATTTTTAATGGAACAGATTACGAATGCTGCGAACAAAGCTTGCAAAATTCTAAGATCATCTTCAAATATATCATTCAAATCACCTAAATGGTGGGACGAGGAGTGCCGTGAGATATCGAATAAGAGAAAAATTGCATGCAAAAGGTACAAACAAAATATGTGTCTGGCAAACTTTGTTGAATATCAAAAAATAAATGCTAAATGTAAACTAATCTTTAAACAGAAATGTAGAAATAGTTGGGCCAACTTCTGTCTCAATCTAAACAGACAAACTCATCCAACTGAAATATGGGATAGAATTAAGAAAATTAAAAAAAATAAAAATCTGTATGTGCACGACGAAAATATCGTTGAAAATTTGTTCCATAAAATAGCTCCTTGCTATGTTCCCTCTCCAATATAT